TACCAATCCCATTGACCTTACTAGTGTTAAGACAACACGACCTCTCCATCATGAGTTTTTGTTACTCTGTTCTTGAAACATGTATTATGAGATATTTTTTTGTGATGTAATGAATTATCAATTCCAATTATCTCCTCGTCCTGTATCTTTGTATTATTCGTGCGATGTTTCCTTTATATTTTGTTCGCTTTCATGTTTGGAAATAGTTTAGCCATGTAAAATATTTTAGCCATTTGACCTACCACTGAGATCTCCAAATCGATTCAACACTTGCCACAAGATTGTTAATAAAGGTTATCTCAATTATTTGACCTTCCACTGAGGACACCCTAGTGAACAATAGCTTAGCATCAAATTCTGAGGCCTTAATCATGTCGTATTTTTGTTTTTTACCAACCTTCCACAGAGGTCGACCAACCAGCCCGACCCGAAGGCCTTAATCATACGGATTTTTCATCTTCTACCAACCCACTATTTGGGTCGACCAACCATCCCGAAAGCCTTAATCATGCCGGATTTTTTGTCTTCTACCAATTCGCCACTAGGATCGACCATCCATCCCGAAGGCCTTTATCATGTCGAATTTTTGTCTTCCACCAACCCACCGTTGGTGTCGACTAGCCAGCTCGAAGACCTTAATCATGCAGATTTTTGTCTTCTAACAACCCGCCGCTGGGGTCGACCAGCTAGCCTGAAAGGCTTAATCATGCCGGATTTTTTGTCTTCTACCAACCCGCCACTGGGATTGACCAGCCAGCTTGAAGGCCTTAATCATGTTGGATTTTTTGTCTTCTACCAACTCGGCACTAAGGTCGACCAGCCAGCCTGAAAGCTTTTATCATGCTAGACTTTTTATCTTTTACCACCCCGTCACTGGGGTCGACCAGCCAGCGCGATGGTCTGAATCATGCTGGATATTTGTCTTCCACCAACCTGGCACTGGGTCGACCATCCAGCCTGAACGCCTTAGTCATGATGGATTTTTGTCTTCTACCAACCCACCACTAGGGTCGACTAGCCAGCCCAAAGGCTTTAGTCATGCTGGATTTTTTGTCTTCTAACAACCCACCACTAGGGACGACCAGCTAGCTCGAAGGCCTTAATCATGCTGGATTTTTTTCTTTTACCAACCCGCCACTGGAGTTGATCAACCAGCCCAAAGGCCTCAATCATGTTGGATTTTTTTGTCTTATCCAACCCGCCACGAGGGTTGACCAGCCAAACCGAAGGCTTTAATCATATTGGATTTTTTGTCTTCTACCAACTCGCCACTAGGGTCGACCAGCCACCCCAAAGACCTTAATTATGCAGGATTTTTGTCTTCCACAAACCCGCCGCTAGAGCCGACACAGCCATCCCGAATGCCTTAATCATGTCGAAAATTATGTTTTTCACCAACCAGTCAATGTGGTCGACCAACCAGGCCGAAGGCTTTAATCATGTTGGATTTTTTATCGTCTACCAACCTGCCACTGGGGTCGACCAGCCAGCCCGAAAGACTTAATCATGCTAGATTTTGTCTTCTACTAACCCGCCAATGGGTCGACTAGCCAGTTCAAAGGCCTTAACCATGCCGGATTTTTGTCTAACACCTTGTTTTGACCTTCCACTGAGGCTATTTGAAATATTTTGAACACAAACAGTTGATAATAATGATCTTTTTGATCAATATGTTTGCTAATGTGTGCATTACACAAAACAACAAAAAATAAAGAAAGAAATTATGCGTAACATTTCTTCAAGTTCATAATATTCCATGACCTTGGCAGTGGTCTCCCTTTGGCGTCCTTGAATATGCTTCTCCTGCATGGACTCATCTGACCACGTATGGCCCTTGATAGTTAGGATCAAGCTTGCCCACATGCTTGAGCTCATCGGCCCTCTTCCAAACCAAGTCGCCCACCTATAAATGTGGAACTTTCACCCTCTTGTCATGGGCCATCCTCATCATTCGTTTATATGTTGCGACCCTAGTTACCACATGATCTCTTAACTCCTCAATTGTATCCAATGTAGCCCGGGCCAACTCTTTGTTTTGCTCTCTATCATAAGCTGAAGACCTCTGCGAGGTCAGCTCGATCTCCACCAACAAAAGAGCCTCCATTCCATACGCCAAACTCAATAGGTCTCTCTTGTAGTCGACCTCATGGTGGTTCAATATGCCCACAAAATAGATGTTAGCTCATCCACCCATGCTCTAGAAGCCTTTTCCATCCTTGTTCTTAGACCGTTCAGTATGGTTCTGTTGGTGACCTCGACTTGTCCATTCACCTGCAGATGCGCTATTGATGTGAAGTGTTCCTCGATCTTCATATCCTCGTACTTGGCTCGTATCTTTCCATTATAATGCATTCAGTTATCAAACACCAACACTTTTGGTACCCGAAACCTACAACAAATGTCACTGTAAAAAAATTGCATGACCTTATCGGGCACATCTGGACAAGCCTTAGATAGCGCAAATTTGTACTCTTTTGTAGCTAACACTATATTCAAGTTCCTTTTCCAATCAATGTAGTTGGGACAAGTAAGTTTGTTTTCTTAGAGAACTACGGACAATAGATTGAAAGACATTTAAAATTCCTAAGATCATTCAAAGATAAATTTCATTTAGTCAAGTCTTCGAATTTAAGTCTTAAATATTGATCCCTGAAAATAATATTTTATTAAATTCACCGACACCTCAAAACACCGATTCCCCGCAGGCCACGATAGTGTGGACGTCTACAGGTCATACCGTCCCAGGAGGAGGATTTTACCCCTTAATAGTCGGTCCACAATTAAAAGTATTTTAAGTGTAACTCATCACTGAGTACTAAGTCCACTACCAAAATTATACGTCCGCCGATGGGGAGGTCTGTACGCTTTAGAAATGGTTTTCTATTACTATCCCGTAGGAAATTTGTCCTTATAAACTTTGATTAAAATTTACCGATGGGGAGGAAGTCTCTAATGCCAATACGCAAATTTAACCACTTCACCGACAAACTTGTAATGAAGGCCGTGAAATTTAAATTTATTTAATTCAAATTATACCCTTAATATTTTAATTAAGGTATTTTCTTAAGCATGCTCTTATTAATTTTCTTGCACATCAAGCAATTAAATCAATTAAGCACATGCATAACTAAAGACTATAATAAACTAAGAAATTAAAATCCAACTATCATGGCCCATAATTATTTTACAATCCTTGTTGGAAATAGCAATCATTGTCCTTGTAGAAGTGTGTCTTTCATTTTAGACTTGGAATTCCTTTTTCGCCGTGACTCTCACTTTCCTTCTTGAACAAGCATCTCAGCCGGACCGTCGTGTTCGTCGAAAAAATCGTCGAGGAAAATCCCGCCATCCGTTCGTTGCCGAGTGGCAGCACGTTTGGCTAAGACCGCCCGCAGCACCTCACAATACTCAGTCTGGTGATGTCGGCGTGCGCTCGCTATGCGCTTGCCGCCTTGATCGTCTCCCAGCGAACCAGCGTTGTGACCGGGTTCTGCCTGTGTCTACGTACTGCTCCCGTTGTCGCTTGTGTCATCGACCCGGCTACGTGTGTGCCTCCTGCGCACGCCTCGGCAGTGCTCGCGCCTGGCAGCATGCTATTGGCGAGCGTGCCCGCGTGTGCAAGGTATCACTATGTCGTCGACCGCGGGTTCGTGGTTGGCTCGCCTCGTCTCGTTGGGTTTGTCGGATCAATTTGAATATTATATGCAAATACATAATTCAACCTATGACCCACGCAGAGATCGTACATGAATGTTCTTATAAAGCAATTAAACTATACAGTGTCCCAGTGCACGAATAATTTATTGCAAGCATTCACCTAACCCAAAAATTCTCCGACATGTCCAAGGCTTATAAAATATACATGCATTAAAAATATAAATTTGAGTCACAATAGTCGGATTAAAGAACATCTGCAAACAATTTATTGCAGTTCAAATCTACTATGTGTTGCGTCCGTACACAAATAATTCACGTATGCACATAAGTCTTAATTTGAATAGTGCACAAAGATGAATTAAGTCTGGCTATGATACCAATTGTTGGGTTCTATGAGGAACGTCATCGATATGCACATCAGAATCTAACGAATTAAATCTTAACGCAGAAGAATCTATAGTTAAGATTAGGACTTAAGGTTAAAAAATTTGCTGACTCGGAGATGCTGTATATTTCCGATTTTAAAAATCGTCTGATCCGAAGAGTCCGTTGGGCAGCCAGACTTGGCCTCCTCGGTTGATCGCCGATCATCGTAAATCGGTCGGGAGCTGGTCGGGTTGTGCGTTGCTGGGCCGAGGATCTCACGGGCTAAGCGCGTCGGTACGGTAACGTCGGACTGATGATTGCCTTGAGTTTAAACTTATTTCTGAAGGGGTGAGGGGAGAGAGGTGTGTTGAGGTGGGCATAGAGGTTGGGGTGAGGGGAGAGAGGTGTGTTGAGGTGGGCATAGAGGTTGGAGCAGATAGGTTGGGGAGTGATTATGTGGGGTATGTTGAGTTAACTGCTAGTATCTGTTTTGATGGGATTGGGAGGTAGAGCTTGCAAAGCGGCAGAGGTGGTGCAGGTGTGGGCTACATCTAGGGGTTTCTCATGAAATTCAGTGGAGACCAACATTGTTGTAGCTGTGTGGATTCTAAAGCTTGCTGTAGAATAGAATTGGAAGAAAATCTCTTGCACCTTGGCTTGCTTGGAAGTTTGTTGACACTCTCAATAGGTGGAAGAAGAATGAGAAGGTGGAGAACAACACAGAAGCTTTAGCCTATTTTTCTCTTTGTAATGTTTTTAGTTATTGCTCTTTTTCTTTAGACTTTAATGTTTGTAAAGTGTGTTTGGATTTGGCCCTTGAAGGAAACTGCTAAAGTTTTCTTGTTTCTATTCGTCGCCTCATTCGTGTTGTCACGTTAAAACTTATAACTACTCAAGTACCCGCTGTACTCTTGCCTTAGGTAATAGAATTGCTTGCACAACAGAATTAATGAAAGATTTTGGAAAATGATTGCTCCATGCTTTCAACAAATTTGTAACTAATTATACTCAAAAGAGAAATTGCACGTTGCACAACAAAATAAATCCAATTGGTCACGAGATTATTCTTTTTCTATAATCAATAATGGAAACATCAGAAGAAAAAGTAAACAAAATAATGTCACAACAACAGCACCGTATCAAGGCATTTACCTCAATTGTATTTGTAGTACAACAAACCAATTTACTCAATTCTGTTGAAAATTAATGTAATTTCACACCAATCAATTTGAATTTGCTTCTCAAAGCCAATTTAATTCAGCCAGTGACTATCATCTGAATTCCTGAAAGTTGGCATGACCTGTCGCTTGGGCATGCTCGACTGCTTCCTACCATAGTGAAGGCAAAAACATAAACAATAAGTTTGCAATTTCATAAAACTTACCAAAGTTTTTTAAAAAAAAAAAAAAAAGGATTTTTTGTTAAACCTTTTGTCCCACAACTCCTATTTGGCAAACAGCGCATCGCAAGGTGAAGTTGGCAGTGTCCGTAAAGCTCCGCTTCCTAAAATTTAACAGGACTTTCAACATAAGTACAAAATATCGAAACAGAACCTTCATCATTAGATATTTCAGATAACACAATGTAGCTAACTAACGTCATTAGTCACCCCGGCGAAAAAAGAAATGTAGGAAACTTTTAGCCTTCATTGTTCAAGGTCCGTATAATGAGTTTTACCCGACATATTAGGTCAAGTAAAAGCTCTGATGTCTTTTTGAACTGCTTGTGCTCAAAAAGAGCATCCAAATAATATTAGAAAAAGGATCAAGATAAAGAATGCAATAGCAATACAGAGAAAGAAAAAAAAAAGGATAAAGAATGATATGTTACAAGTATGAACATTATTTAGCACGCAAAAAAAAAAAAAAAAAAAAACACGATTTTACCTGTGCTGATCTTTAACGAGATGAAGGGCGAGCTCTTCAACTGGGCCCACATTGCGCACAGCAAATATCGTCTGATCAAACTCCTCTGGAGCTCCTTCGAAGGGCGACATCTGCACATGGAAATACATATTCTTGCGTGTTATCCAAAACAAAATATTGAGTCTTTAGCCAAGATTCAATTACGGTATGAGTTTATTATTATCACTCAAAACATAACTCAAAAACATAGATACAGAAGTTGTGCATGCACAAAGGCCTTACAGCTAAAGCATCATAATGGATCCCATCATATATCAACATCACTCTTTCCTCAAAGTTATTTCCCTGCATATTAAAATCCAAATGAGTCAATGGTCGAATAATAGGAAGATTTCCAGCCAGAATATTGTACTAACCTGCCCATACAAAACACATCTCGTGGTTTGTATATCATATCCTGCAATTTCACGTCCATAATATTCGGACAATATTGCAAGTTCAATGGCACCTTTAAGATGGGAAATCAAGAAAAAGAATTAGCCCTACAGATAAGTAGACAAGCTTCATGATATTAATGATTAAGTTGCAACTAAGATGTTATGACTTATGACTAAATATAGTTTGACTGATTAATAAACACTAAGGCGTGAAATACTGGGAAGCAAACTTACAATCCAAGACATAAGTAAACTTAAAGCTTTCTCGTAATCATGCAACAGAAAATTATACAACTACACATGAATCTTTCACACAAGGATATAGATGCAATTACATAAATAATTCTACAAATATATAGGGAAAGTTGAACGCACGAATAATCCGTGTTCTCTTTTAACCTAAATCTTATGTAATCAACAATAACTTCATCTCAACTCACACCCCACTCCCGTAAAATATGTAGGTCAAAGACAGTATACTAGGTTTAGCTAGGAGCCAGATCAGAATCACGAAGCTTTTTAAATTATCTCATAAAAGGAACTGTAAGTCTGCTCAATGCCTCATTAATACAACATACAACTTATAAGCAAAATTAAGCTGGACAGAAGCTTCTTATATAGCATGCATATCCAAAGGCATATCCACTATTACCAACTTATGATATGAAAAAAAATAAAAAAATAAAAATAAAAAACAGTATCCAATATGCAGGAGTTTTGATGCTAAGGCAATATACGAAAGAAAAGATATATTGCTTGAACATTGGAATTATTCGTTCAATAACAGACCAGGTACATGTATCCCTAGTGTGACAGGTTGAACAATATAAAACAATAGAAGGCCGTCCAATGGGATCAGCATGGACGAAAATCATTTGACAATTACGAATAAATCCAGTTAATTTGTAAATACACCAAAATTTGAGCATGAGTATCAAGCTAAACAACTAGAATTGGCATAATTTAAGAATGTAATTGCTAACCTACTATTTGTGATATATCAGAGTTTGAAACATTAGACAAAGAATTCTAGTCGTTCACATCCTGTTGCTTCATAGAAGGAAATTTTAATAGAATTGTTGTTAACCCCAAATTTCTTTCACAAGGGCGGGAATTTTTAATTTTTAAATGATTCCAGCAGGCCGCAAAAGGAAAACAACAAAAGAGAAAATTTTGTATGCAGGTAAGAGTCATAGATACATTGAAGACAATAAAAGCCAGGTTTGAAATAAAAACAATAATCAGATGCAGCATCGTATGCATTGGCAGCACTATATAATTATCAACTAATTCTGTGGCCATCCAAGGAAGTTGAGTGTTTTACCACATACAGTTGATTATTAATATGTCAGATTAACTTGTGTTACTGGACAACAAAAACTATACTGTATGCATTCTGAAAAAGCCCATATAGCGAAATACATGCAGTCCTCGTAAGTTATGCAAACATCCTGAACTAAAAAGACTGCAAGTACATTGCATTTAGATGAAAAATAACTGAACAAAGAACAATATCATGCAATATCTTGTGGTAATATGAAGTGTCTGAATCTACCAACATAAATATGAATTTCCATCAAAGGACTGATTCTTTTTTTCCTTTTAATCAATTTCACTCATGATGCATGACTAATAAACAAAGTGAGGAAGGTGAGCAAAGTAAATACTGACCTCCCCACTTGTCTGGGTTAAGAATCCATGCACAGTACTCATCATTAGTTAATCCAAGGAATGCCTCACTATACTTTTCTGGATCACTAGCGACTGTTGCTGCTATTACCTTCATCAAGTTTGAAGTTGCAAAAAATCACTTGCAAAGAAATAAATAAAAAGCAAACAGAAACAAGATTTAACACTGATATAATGCCATGTCAACTCTCCATGCAGAAAATGATTCATTTAACTAGACAAAGGCACACGAAGACTTTTCTGAAATGTGAGTTACCACACGACTATATTTCAGTCAACAAAGATAAAACAAAAACTTATTATGTATCCTGAAGACAAGTGATCGCCAATTTTTCTACTATTTTATTCACTACAAAGTTCTCAACCACAATGAATAACTTTCATTTCCTTTTTAGCATATATGTGAATATTCAAAACGTAAACTTGTTTTCCAGACGCATGTACGCAGAAAAGACATCGTGATGACCAGAGTAGATGGATCATCAATTCCGAGCTAAAAACCCCAAGTAGTTAATGAATCATATATATGATTCAACAAATTTTCCATATACAATTTTTCAGGGACAGAAGGTAAGATACATAAAAAATGAACTTTTCGAATCTAAAACTCTCAACATTTAATTCTCACGTGACTTTTAAACTAGGATAAAATGATGTAAGCATTAATGCGCCATGCATTATATGTATTACGCAGATGAAAACACATTTTACTTTTACTATTTTAAGTATAACAAATATTCTTATCTTTTTTAGTATATATGTGATTATTTCATCTAGCAAAATGAACTTCTTTTCCAAAAGTACCGTCTGGAGGAATTATGAGTGATATCCACCAATTGACAAGCACAACATTTTACTGTGAAAATGTAAAATATACATAAAAGTTCAAACTTTGAGAACTCTCACACATTACTGCCAAATTGATCGACCTCAGAACAACAGGGACACACATCAGTTGTAACTCGGCATTTAATTCTCACGTGACTTTCAAAACAAAGCACTGAGTTTCATAATCCAAAATTTCCAAATTTTGCAGTTAATACCAGGTGGTGTAGTACAGAATGAGCATTTCACAATTTTTCCATACAAATAATGTTAAAAAATGAGTGAATGGTCTTATCTATACACAAATGGAAGAAATTGATCAACATTCATCATTGCCATTCGAACTCGATTCGTACCTGTCTCAGCTCAGAAGCCTTGTTTCTGTCGTGATCCATTACATAACTGCAAATATTCCATAACTTAGTTACTAAACAATATCCACGCATAATCACTGTCCGAACAGAAATAAGATACTCCCACACAACATGTAATCTCATAATCCAGTTCATGAGATTTGGAAAACCTTAAATTTTCCGAGCTTACCCGACCGCATTAAAGAGGCAGCTGTTATCTGAAGGAATAACTCTCCTAACCACAATACCTTCCATTTTAAACCTGAAAAGTGACAGTCTTGGTTAATATGGTTCAGAATTCGACCAAGAAACATATAATTTACGAAACTGGGTCATGAATAAATTTGTCAAATTTGAAAAAGATCCAAAAATAAAAAAATAAAAAAGTTCGGACTCTTGTGGGTTCAACAGCCTTAGAATTACAAACAACAAAAACGCTGAACAAGTACTTCTATTTTCCTATCAACCAAAAATGGGCTAACAAGAAAATAGGACTCATGAAAGAAGTTCAGGCAAATCGAGAAATCATTGTTACTTCAATATAGACATTTATCCAATTGCATAATCAGAACAATTCAGAATTAGCCGGTACTTATATTTCATCAAGAACAATTGGGAACAACAAAAACAAAATGCGAATCAAAATAATTGCAAACCTCTGACAATTTGAGGAAGAGAAATGAGAGGCGTGTCGTAGATCTTGGCTCTATCCCACGAAATGTTCTTGCGTGAACGCTAGAAATAAAGCAAAAAGAGCGCTGACGGCGAAAAAGCTGAATTTATTATTATGAAATTACGATTGTCACTAGTACAACCAGGATTTACAGTTTCAAATTTGCAGGGATTAAAATCAGATAATATCTTCTTTGGCAAATTCTATTTTTTGTAATAATCACAGTTCCGCAGCTGTAGATTTCTTGTTTGAAACATTTACAAGACGCCTTGGGTTTACTCCAAAAGCCAAAAAGGAAAATTGAACGGATTGGATTTTAGAAATTATTTGAATTTGAATTTTTTATTACAAAAAGGCAGTTATTACAATTTTAATAATATAAATTAGTAGCATTCCTTTAATATAGTAAACTCTAATATAGTGAAAAATAGTTATTTTCACTTCACTCTGAAGATATATAAAGTTTTTCATACCGTTAATTTATAGATTAATTTTTTCACTCTAGTAAGTGCAAAACAATATATGTGATAAACTATGCGACAGACAGACAAATATAATTGAGAAAGTACGAAATAATTATGCAATAAACTGTGCAACATAGAGACAAAGTTAATTGGGCAAGTGAGAAATAATGTACGATAAACTATGACAAATATGCAAAGATAATTGAGGAAGTACAATCTCATTATGCGATAAGTTATGCGACAGATAGTCTAACTTAATGAGGAAGCGGGTAAACATTATGCGATAAACTACCAGTGTGGAACTGTTTGGGACTTTTGTCGCATTTCTTATGAGATCGGATGAAGATTATGGCAAAATGGAGTTTGTGTTGTGGTATCATAAAGACCCTCGATCAGCTCGGTTCTACTTGTTGTCTTCCTCGCCGTGATGACCTTCGAGGCCTGCAAAATCTCAACACTAGAGGGGTTTTTCAGTGAAGAGCATCCGATACTTAAGTTAGGAATATGTTGGAGATGACGAACAATATGTAAGTATGTAGAAAGTGTGTAACGTAACCGTGGGTATACCTCACTCCCTTAGTTGGGGATACCTTGTTGCCCAAGACTGCCCGAGTTGGCTGCCTAGACTGCCCTATCGTACTGCCCGAACTGTCTGAACTGCCCAATTCTGTTGGGCCACGTGGCCCTATCCACGTGTAGATCTTATTTAATAATATTCCTTCTTATCCCTTAGTCTTCCTTATTAGACGATCAAATTATGTTACTTAGCGCAATTACCTCGAGGTGAAATGTCAACGATGTCGACCTCCTATGTTCTATTCATCTGGTCGATCCTACGACCAGTCGTACCTTCACTCGATTGTCCCTAGTTTTGGTAGATTGGCTCACTTTCTGTTTTTTCGACCTCATCTCTTGTTTTCCCTTCATTTTCGCAAATATGTTCATTCTTTTTGTTGGGTTTTTCCTTTTAAAATTTGAATTTCAAACATATGCCATGTGCCTATACACGTCCAGTCTGAACGTCCTATCGTCTAGCGCTTTGCAGTCAGTGTTGTCCTCGTGGAGTGTGCTTAATAAATTCCAAATTAATTTTGCCCGTTCAATCGCCTCTTTAGTCCCACGGTCATGCTCGACCTATCCCTTCAACTACTACTTTTGATCTGGACCATTGAATTCGGCCTCAGTCCAACTGTTGGGGTCAATCGATCCCTTACCATTCAGTCTTCTTTGACCTATAAAAGGATTCTTTGACCTATTTTCTTAGGTTTTCCACTTTTGCACGAGATTGTTTAATATACAACTTTTATTCTCCTTTGTGCTCTGCGAAAATCAGCGTCTAGAGTTATTGTTGTTGCTTCACCGCCAACCACCGGCATTTGCACTTTTTCGATCAACTCAGCAATCATGATTAGTAAGTGTTTATCATTTTCTGTATTTATTTATTTTTACATGCACGATTTTCTTTTTCATTTCTCCTCTCAATATTTTTACATGCACGATTTTCCTTTTAATTTCTCCTCTCGGTTCCCAATTTCAAGTACGCCATCCTCCTCCCTCAATCGCTTTCTTCTATTTCTTAAACTTTTCTCTCCTTTTTTTTTTCCAGATTTTGCCACCTCTAGTGAGACTGACCAATACTTCGAAGATGATTTGAGTACTCTGCCGCCTTCCTCGACTTCTACCCCTCCATTTACTCCTTCGACCTCCTCTTCTATGGAGGTCAATCCTGAACCCCTCACTCCCTCGTCTTCTCGACCTTCTCCCTCCTCTGCAGTGGTCCGCCCTTCTCATCGATCTCTTAAATTGACTAATGATCCCGAGACCGACGACAAAGAGAAAACAGACTCTCCTCTCAACATGATCAAGCAACCCGCTCTATTCCCATGGGTCGGCCTATTCCTGGTGCCACTCATACCATTGTTTAACACATGGTGATTGTTGCTCGTAGGCCTTAACACCTTCCTTAACATAAGGGCTGATTGGGTTGATAGTTTCTTGGTTAATTTTTCTTTGCCCCGTGACTGGCATTATGTGTCTTCTCAACCAATGGACTCCTTTGACCACCCGTGACCGGTTGTTATACCTTGTTCTACGACAAAATGGAATTAGGTCATAGGTTTCCTCTTAGCCCAACTCTTCTAGACCTGTGTAAGTTACTCGAGGTTCCTATCAACCAGCTTTCTCCCAACTCGGTCCGTCATTTAGTTATTTTTGCCATTCTTTCTTATTGTAGATTAGGTCATATCGACCATGATTTTTTCTTCTACTTCTATATCTCTAAAGGACAAAAGGGGACTCTGTTCTTCTCAACTGAGCACATTTCATAAATGATGCCCCCTCTAATATCCCCAAGTGGAAAGACAAACATTTTTTCATTCGACCTTCTTCTCCTCTGCCCTTCGAATCGACATGGTTGAAATCCCCAAACTGTCAACTTACTCTACCCCTCTTACTCCCGACTTTGACCTCTGGATCTAAGAATGGAATAAGTCCCAAGTAGCTTCTCTTGTTCTTCTTGACCACGAGCCTGTTTTGTCTCACTGTGGTCTCTCTCCTCGGCATCACTCACGTTTGTCCGCTGATGAGATTGGTAGCTTGTGTTTTCCATTACTGTATGGCACATTAGTTTTTTACATGTTAAATTTTGTTTTGCTTGTCTTCTGTAAAAGGATTGTTCAAGCGGAAGGCCTCCTCCTCGACTGTTGTAATTATTCTTACCGGAGTAGAATCGAAAGATTCGAACATCGGGGCATTTCTCAAGGAAGGTCAGCCGGATTATTTGTACGACTATTCAATCACACGAAAAGATAAAACAAGTCTTAAACACTCTAATTCAATTGATTGGTTTCGATTATCAGCTACTAGATTAACCACTACTGATTCTCAAACAAGACAATTTCAATCACACAACTTCAAACGAGATTCAAATAATTGTAAAAAGGACTAGGGCGTCGGGGACAATCGTTTCCGGTTCTCAATACATTTAACGGGCAATCAACTACTCAGCTAAAGGGCTCGAAAAACCAATTCATCTAGAGATTCATTCTCAATAACTCACGAAACAATAAACATAAACGAACAATCATCGAATCAATTAGCACATAGACAATACGTCTCAGAAACAAGTCTACTCTAAACGAGCCTAAGTCGATCAATTTCTCCCCTTTCGGTTCTAAGAATCGATTTAGTGGATTGAAATGGTGATCAGTCATTCAACCCTAGGATTAACACAACTCGAATAGATTCAGTAATCAACATTCATACAAACGAAATTGAACCGAAACAATTATCCCCTAACCCTAGTTAACGAATTCAGCTACTCGTCACAGATTCAACATCAACATTCATATGAAGCAAAGCAATAACATTCATCAATGAAATGAAAAAGAAGCTTACGGATAAATACGAATCCAATGTCGAAAGAAACAACAAGCAATCCAAATCCAAAAGCCTAATCTTGGTGTTTTCACAATCCAAGATCAAATCCTATGAAAACTAGGTGACAATTGAGTTTGAGAAGTGAAAAAACAAAATTAAAAAGTCTGGAATCGGGAAAATAAGCCCTAGGTTCGATATTAAAAGCTCCTCCAATACAAAATCCACAGAAAATCGTGTCTGCTTAAAACAGACCTTAGAGGCGCTAAGGCTAAGGTATCTAAGCCGTTCGAGCCAGTACCGTGTAGCGCCGCTATCCTGTGTGCCTTAGCGGCACTAGGCTCTGGCAGCCTGCTGGACTTTGCTTCTCGGGTCCGTTTGGGTTCGTTTCAACTCGAAATTCGATTCCGCTTTTTCCTGTGTGTTCCCAACGAACTCCTCTATTTAAATAAGCTTGCCCGACTAACTTTCACCAGAAATCCGGTCCTCCCGAGGATTCCTACCTACACACCATAAACAAAGAAAAACCAGAAAAATACACGAAAACACATGAAAGACTAAAATAGAGCGAACCACGAAATAAACTACAAAACGAACTAAAAACCAACTAAAAGACCTAATGTGGGGGAAAAAGAAAAGAAAAATAATGACGAAAAACGCAACAAAAGTGGGACAAACATCGACCTCTGGCTCGAAAGGGAAGGCGCCACTATCCCCCCCCCAGAAAAGCATTCTGATGTACGACCTCAGGATCCCAGGTGAACCAATCTAAGGCGTCCAAGGCAGCGGCCGACAAGAAACACCCACACTTCCAGAAGGGTTCCTAGTCGAAGAAAAGGTCCCCACCAAAGAAGCAGGCACGTACCAAGTGTGTCGAAGTGAGAGATCCCAGCGATGTCTCAACTCCTCATGTCAAGACATCTCAGGTCAAGCCACGTCAAGCCACCTCATCGACCATTCAGGTCAAAGTTATGTCGTCCTTTGCTACCAACACCAAAGGGTCAGCCATCACTTCCCACCTGATGAAGTGTATTCCCTCCGCTGAGATTAATGGTATGATTGGTAGGAAGGAATGACATGTGAATGGAATGATAATTCTCTTACTCATTCCTTATCCCATGATTGTTATATTTTTTGGAAAGGAATGACCATTCCAATGGGAATGGTAAAACCCATCTCCATGGGATTAGCCATTCCATAGTAAATGGAAGGTTTTCTCATTCTCATTTGTGTAGGAATCCATTTTTCATAAAATAAAATTAACAAATAATAATAATAAATAAATATATAATACAAATCATGATTAAAATATATTAAAAAAAAGTATTTTAATAAATAAAATTCAAATAAAAAATTTGAAAACTATTTAATATATTTTTTAATTATATATATTAAATACTTATATAAAAATAAAACTAAAAAAAGCATTTATATGTAATTTAAAAATATATTATTTATTTTTATATATTATTAAAAATATATTATTTTTTATATATTAAAATGTATTACTTTTAAAAATATATTATTAAAAATATATTATTGAAAAATATTAAAAATATATATTATTAAAAATATATTATTTTAAAAATAATATTCAAATAAAAAATTGAAAGCTTACTTTTATTTAGTGTTTAATTAAAAAATAAAATATATATTATTAAAAATATATTAATTTTTATTTTTATATATTATTTTTTATATATTAAAAATATATTAATTTTAAGAATAAATTACTTTTATATATGAAGTGAATAAGATTTCACCCGGGCTCCTTCAACTCGAACGGCCTCCGTACCTGCAAGAACCCAACGCCGGGAGGGGTCCCAGCGTCGGCCACCGACGCTCAAGTCAGAATCACTCCAAATCTCAAGTGTAGTAATGAATGTAGAGAGAATGAGAGAATGAGATACCTTAGTCCCGTTTTATAGGGGGAATGTACCTTATAGCCCAAGTTGGGCTTGTCCAATAGCATCATGCCACGTGTCCTAGCTATGTGTAGGCTTATTCTTCAATATATCCCCTTTTTATCCATTAAGACTGGTCCAGTATATAATATCCTATATCAATATATAATTTAATAATATATTATTTATTTTTATATATTATTAAAAATATATTATTTTTTATATTAGTAAAAAATATATTATTTTATTTTTATATATTATTAAAAATATATAATTTTATTTTTATATATTATTAAAAAAGCATTTATATATAATTTATTAAAAGTATATTATTTTAAAAAAAAAAATTATTTAATTTTTATAATAAAAAATGATAATGTCATTCCATTCAAGTCTTATTTTTTTTGCATACCAAACGCATCAATGACAAAACTTATTTCATTCCATTCTCATAATCATTCCATTCTTCAATTCATTTCATTCCTACGAAATTCTATTCCATTATACCAATCATGTCGTAAATGTTGGGGATTCGATCAACAAGGTTAAGCAGACTCTTCGTCCGAGAGTTCCGTGCAGGTATCTCCCACCCTTTAGCACTTGATGTTGCTTGATATTTTCCTTTTTTTTACTAGCATGACTTATTCTGTTTTTGCAATTCCTGGCTGCAGTGGTCTCTAACCTTGACGAGGGCATCGGCGGGCCTAGCCCATCCATCCAAACTCTTAAAGTCAAGAACAAGGCCTTAGCGGCCGAGAACAAACATCTCTCTGACTTCGAATTCAACTTAACATCGGAGATGTCGAGGAAAGACAAAAAATATATGGTTGACCTAAGGGCCGAGCGGATGAGCTCGAAAAAGAGAGACTGCGTCGAGAGGAGGCCGAAGCTAAGCTCAAGAAGTTGACCGAGCAAGCTCTTACTCAAGGTCGCATAGAGGGCCGACAATATTTTTGCACTTCGAAGTTTGGGGCTGCTTTCCTAGATGCTTACCTAGAGCAAGTTGTTTAGGATTTCTACCGATCTTCTAGATTCTTGAAGAGACTTGTCCCGGCTGCTCAGGAATTTATGGAGAGTGCCTTGAAAATTGCTTATGCTCAAGCTACAACTCAAGGCTTCACTGGTGAGTTTAACTGTACAACTATCGAGGAACAGCTTCCTAATAATCATGCGGGTATGAAAGTGACCCACTCTCCCTTATGACCAAGTGTGGTGGACTAAGACACTTGCAGATTGTCTATCTCAGCCTTGAGAAAAAAAAATGTTTTGCCTCATGTTCCTTTAGTGGTCTAGCCTATTACTCAAGTGACCCCAGAGGGAAGTCAGGTTATCAGGGACTAGGCGTCTGCTAACCCCTCTACTAGTCCCACTGAAGCTTCGACCTCCAACCCTGAGGGCGCTGAGATGACCCAGACCCCTCCTTCTTGAATGTCTTTTCATTTTCATGTTGTAATATATTTCTACTTTGTCTTGGGATGATGCCTGATGTTTTTGAACCTATGGCTTGAAAATTTTGTCTTTTTTTGGAATGGAATATTTATTTGTTTTTCTTTGATCTATGCGCTCTGCTCATTTATTTTATACTTAGGCAAACTGCTATTCTTGTCTAAATCTTTTATAATCGACCTACCAATCCTTTCTTAAAACAAGCTCCGTACTTACATTGTTTTTTAGTAATTCACTACCTTAATTCCTCGACCTGCCACTAGGTCTTCACATTAATTTGAAATGAACTTAGTAAACTTTTAAGTAACCTTTTTCATTTGACATGCCGCTGAGGTCACCACATTAATTTGAATTTAACATTATACGATTTTCCATAACCTTTCTTAGTTCGACCTTCCACTGAGGTCTCTACAATTGACACTCTACTTGGAAAAAGTTTTATCCTTTTCACGCTAGGTTCACCTTAGCAAATCAATCTTCCGCTAAGGTCACCTACCGACTTCATACTTGGATATGTAGATTCATCGTTTGTGCTAAACCATATTCAATGTCATTGCGTGTTGTATTTGGAGTGTGGTTGTTGCCGCTTCCTTGTTTGTAACGTATTGCTCGAACAATCCACGCTGGATATTTTCTTTTGATCTTTATGTCTCTTACAATCCAATACTAGGATCAACCACCCAGCCTGAAGACCTTAATCATGGTGGATTTTTCTCTTCAACACTTTCCCTACTCGCCATTGGGGTCGTTCAAACAAGCGACCATCCAGCCCAAAGGCTTTAATCATGATGATTTTTTTCCTCGACCTTTGTGTCTTCTGCGACCCAACTCTTGGATCGACAACCCAGCCCGAAGGCCTTAATCATCGTGGATTTTTCTTCAACACTTGCTCAACCTACCACTGGGCTCGTTTAAATAAGCGACCATCCAGCCCGAAAGCCTTGATCATGATGGATTTATTCTTCGATACTTGTCCAACCCGCCACTGGGGTCATTTAAAGAACTGACCATCCAGCGTGAAGGTCTTGATCATGATGGATTTTTTTGTCAACACTTGTCCAACCCACCACTAAGGTCGTTCAAACTAGCGACCATCCAGCCCGAAGGCCTTGATCATGATGGAGTTTTTGTACAACACTTGTCTAACACGCTATTGGGATCGTTCAAATAAGCAACCATCCAGCGCGAAGGCCTTGATCATGATGGATTTTCATCCTCTACGACCCCACACTTGGATCGACCACCTAACCCGAAAGCCTTAATCATGGTGGATTTTGGAAAACTAAATGATGACCTACCATTTTTCGAATTCATAACATTTCGTGACCTGGGCAAAGGCCTTCCGTTAATGTCCTTTAGAGAATAGGCTCCTCCTGGATGTACTCGCTCCACCACATACGGACTTTTCCAATTAGGCTCGAGCTTACCCACACGCTTCAATACGTCGATTCTTTTCCATACCAAGTTGCCCACCTGAAAACGTCGAATCTTGACCTTCTTATCATGTGCGACCCACATCCACTGTTTGTAAGCTGCAACTCTGGTAGACGCCTGCTCACTATTCTCCTTGATAGTGTTTAGGGATGCTCGAGCCAACTCTTCATTTTGCTCCTTGTATGCACTCGAACTATGGGACTCCGACTCGATCTCTATTGGTAACAACGCCTTCATTCCGTATGCCAAGCTAAAGGGAGTTTCTTCTGTGGTTGACCTTGGGGTCGTTCGATAAGCCCAACGTACAGATGTAAGTTCGTCGGCCCACTCCCCTGACACCTTCTGTAATCTTCTCCAATCTTGTCTTCAGGCTATTTAGAATAATCAGTAATTCTCTTGAATACCAAAGATGTTGGCGATCTAAGATATTCAACTTGAAGATAGACATTCAAGTCCCAGTCCCTCTCCAAGAAGGATCAAAGAAGAAAGACCGTCAAAAAGTTTTCTTCAACAAATCAAGTCCTAACATTTAATACAGGAATAAGTCATTCGACTCTCAAATTAACGTTAGACAACTTCAAGATCACGCACAAAGGAGATCCAATTGCTAAATTCAAATTTGAAGATCAAATCCAAGTCCATGAATAGAAGAATCGGAGGGTTCCACATAGATATTATACCCGCATATCGTTTGATCAAAATAAAATTAAGTTGTACAAATGTTTTATTTTTTTCATATTGCAAATTTGGCACGCTCGGTGGTACCATCTCTACTTATCATCTCTTCTTTTCAAATCAAGTAAAAATCTTTGAAGATGCATGAAGACCTTTTTGATAAAAGGGGGCAACTAAGGAGACATCATCCTTAGTTGCCCCTTGTACGTTTTCTTCAAGGAGGTCTTCGTGCATCTTCAAAGATCTTCGAACTTGGTAAGAGATGAGAGGTAGAGATCGTTCCACTGGGCGTACCAAATTTGTAACAACAAATTTTATGAAAAACATAAAACGTTGTACAACTAAATTTTATTTTGATCAAACGATACCATGGGTGCAATCTCTATTTATCTCCTCTGACTTTTTTCTTCTTGAATTTGGATTTGGATCTTTAAATATGGATTTAGACTTGAATATCATTGAGCCGAGGGCTTGATAGATTTTTTCTGGATCAAATGTTACATTGTTTGAACTTCTCAACAAACGCGGCTTGAATGTTGCTTGAACGCCATTGATGTTCTTGAATTGATTTGAGACGAGTGGATGTTATCTCTTTACTTCTTAAAGAAGAGCAACCACCTATCGTTCTTCTTCTTAGCCTTCTTTTTCATTGAACGGATTTCGGCGGTTTGAATGCTTGGTTGTGGATTGAACGCTGATCTTCAACTTTGAATGCTCTTGGATCTTCAAAAATGTCTTCTACTTATGGTACTTCATTACTATTTTTCCAAAAAAAAAAAAAAATATAATGTAATTGGGACATTAATAACGGATTATATACTCAATATAGGCATATTGTATACCATTATAGTGATTTGTCCTGTTATTAAAAAAATAACGCATTATATAATCAACATAAACACATTATAGGAGGTAATTTTACAGGCATGTGTAAATTAGTAAAACTCAATAATACATTATCTACTGGACATAAACATAAAGTGTACAATTGTACAGACACCTTGTTAACTTAACCTGGTATGCTAGTAAAAAAAACAAAACATGATTATATACTCAGGGATCTGCTCCCTTACCCACGGTGGGCAGAGAATTAATATGCCCACTGATTATGTGGCATGTACAGTAAAGAGTTGTGCTAACATAGGAAACCTAGTCCTTGCATTAGCCTGTTTTATAAACTAAACATACTAAGGTCAATTCATTGAATACATATAGGTGGTTGTGTCTACGAAAACATATACTTAACATATATTGCCTATATACACAACATATAGTGCCGACATGTCCAAGAGCCCGAGCTTCAAGCCTCGCTTCGTCGTCTCCAACATGACCTCTCCGCTAAAAAGAAGGAGAAGAGGGACACGCAGTCGTCGGAGTCCATCGTTGTCTCTTTTAAAAACAACCACAGGGATCCAAGAAAAAAAAAAGTCACGGCTTCCGACTCGATCACCGGGGCTTCTTCATCTACAAATCGGGGGCAGATTCCCTCCAGGTGGCGATCTTCTTGCTACATTTCTTCTCCATCCACTCCTCGATCGTGCAGACACGCCAGAGGCTCGCCCAATCATCCTCCCCGCCGTCGTGGTTGCCGTGTACGTTAGTGCCACTACTGCCACAAATGTTAGCATCGCCGCCGCTCTGATTCCTTCTCCCCTCCATCTATTTTTTAGCGTTTTTATACAATTTCACAGCAATTCAATGNAATAAAAAAAAAAAAAGAAAAACAAAAGAAGAAGAAGAAGAATATGGAGAATATTGAAAATGCGTGAGGGTTCTGGAAGTTTCAAAAGGTAAATCTTGAATTTACCAACTGCAAGCATCCTATTTTATATAATTATTAATTAAAATATAAATATGACTAGACTTGAATTATGGTATATATGCAAATAAATATGATAGATTTAGTAATTTTTCTAATATAAATACATTAGTTGTAAATATGTAATAAAGAAGATTAATTCAGTAGTATGTTGGATAATTTTCTCTGAATTATAAATGCAACATAAATCTAATGTTAGAATTGGAACTGTACTATTTAAAAACATTAATGCCGACTCAGAGAAGATTTCTTCAATCTACGAGATGGAAATCAACCCTTGCTACCTTGAGATCTTCTATTGTATGTATCAATTCTTAATGTCTTGTGGGCAATAAGTCCTTGAAGTTCTCGCTTTCAAGAACTCGCACCGGTTCAAGAAAGAAGGAAAAATATCACGTGTTGTATTCCCAGCACATCTAAGAAACACAAATTTTCTCTCTTTGTAATTTTTTTTTTAACACTGATTTTCTCTCTCTGTAATTTTTTTACTCGTAAGAAACGTGTAGAATTCAAACACCCATTCTTTTATCTCTCCAAATTGGCAAAACACTATGATTCATTTCCCAATTTCTCACCATAGTTTAAAGTGGAGCAAAAACTTCAAACAAGCACGCAACACAATAACCAGAATATGTTCATTGAGGTGCTCCAGACGACAAAATGCAAAATTCATAGTTGACTCGTTCAAACATAACAACAAAGTAAAAGTTGGTTTCCAACTGCTAGAACACTACTTCAAGTGGCAAAATATTTTCTACCTCTCAAGATCAACGCGATATTGCAAAATCAAAATGCTCTACTTGGATGTAATAGATAAGTCCAGTAGCTAGCCCCTTAAATGCAAAAGTAATGTCTCCTTAACCCAATTCAGACATTCAATAAGGCCGCCTTCCATTTAGGAAGAAACTAAAATTTGAAATCATAAATTCTACAACGAATGTTGTCTGCCCATTGTAACAGAAATTAAGTAAACCTAATAGCTGAGTACAGGAATTGCTCCCAAATCCTCCAGAAAAACGTCTTCACAAATTTTCAATCAAACAAAAATCCAAATAATATTACAAAGGTAGTATCATAAAACACATTGTAGGAATCATCAAACTTCTGAGTTCGAGGGATGTTTGTTCTGAAACTTTCTCCAATCGCACGAGTAAAAGAACACTACAAACCTTCATGCGCTCAGTCAATCTTCACGGACGAGTAGATTAGCCTCGTGAACCAGAAACACGCGTAGAAGCCAATCGTGCCCGTCAGCACAAAGAAAGCGTACGAACCAATCAGCATGTACCCAAAGTACAACACTCCCGAGACAGGTTTTGTTATATTAAGCTTCGTGAAGAAGTAGAAAACCGCGTAAAGGAAGAGGTACAGAGCCGACGAGCCTGAGGTTAAGTACGACCTCCACCACCAAAGGTAGTCCTCACTGCAAAGCTGGAAATAGCACAGCACAACACTAATCTCCGCACACGTAACAATCAAAATAATAAAAACAAGGAAGAGAAAACCAAAAATATAGTAGAACTGGTGCAGCCAGATGGAGGTCAGTATGAAAAAGAGCTCGATGAAAACAGCTCCAAAAGGAAGTATGCCCCCAATCAAGATCGAGAACAGCGGGTTCATATACCAAGCCTGCTCAGGTATCTGTCTCGGGATTTTATTGGTTTTCACTGGGTCTTCAATAGCCGGCTTCCTAAAACCAACATAACTACCCACAAACACCAGAGGGACTGAAATGCAAAACCACATGAAGACCAACACAAACATGGTTCCAAACGGAACAGCCCCAGACGAAGCCTCACCCCAGATCAAAGCATTCAACACGAAAAATATGGCAAATAAAATCCCAGGAAACATAAAAGCTGTCTGTAGAGTGATTTTCTTCCATTCAGTGCCTTTAAACATTTTATAGAGACGGGAAGAGGCGTAACCAGCAAAAATGCCCATGAAAACCCATAAAAGCAGCATAGCTGTCATTAGACCTCCGCGGTTAGAAGGGGACAGGAAGCCAAGGGCCGCGAAAATCATGGTGACAAGTATCATTCCCAAAAATTGAACGCCAGTCCCGACATATACACAGAGAAGGTTCGAGTTTGTTGGAGGCCTGAATACATCACCGTGGACTAATTTCCATCCGGTTTCCTCCTGAGCCTCCTCTTGGGTTTCGAGTTGGTTGTATTTGGAGATGTCACGGTAGAGAGTACGGAGCATAATCATGGCAACCATGCCTGAGAGGAAAAGGACGATCATCAAAGAGTTGACAATCGAAAACCAATGGATTTGGTCATCAGCCATGTAGAGGTACGTGTCCCATCTGGAAGCCCACTTGATTTCGCTTTCCTACAAAATGACGATTAATTTGTTCTTAACTGTTAATCGCGTGATTTAATCTATCCACAGCAAGAGGAGAAGGTTTACCTGGAAATCGACGTCGTAAGTGAAGATGATTTCCTTCTTATCCTCAACCTCCTGGGGAGAATCAGAAGTGGTCACCGTGCGCTTTGCATGGGGATCACATGTCGTTAGGCGTGATATGTCATCCCATTTTCCCTCGTATTGATGATTGACACTGGAAACACAATGGAATATAAGATCAAAATATTAGAAGACAGAGAAGAGACACGTCATAGTATTGGGCAATGGCAACGTATTTTTACCTGAATGGTTTGACTTCAAATCCCACAATTCTTGCAGAGTCAGTTTCCTCGTCCTTGTGGTACTTGACGGTAAATGTGAGATGATTGTGGATGAAATGCTTCTCCTCTTTTCTCTAGTATTTTTTTTATTTTTACAAAAAGAATGTTAGAGCACAACAGAAATTTCAGATTAAGTTGATCATTTGGAAAGTTACTTTCCCAGCAGCAATTCAATCCAATAAATTATTAGCAATACTTACTCCTGCATACTGTCCTTTAAAACCAACAGGGAACCCATGTTGATAAACTATCGCGTCCATATCAGGTCTTCTAAAGGGCATAACGAGAGGAAGATTATCTAAAATCCTGTTGAGGAAACCACAAAAGCATCATGTGACTACTATGCATGGCACAAATTTGAAATGGGGTAAAAACTTTCATCAACATGACTTACATGTTCACGCGATAATCATCATCAATCTTTTCTTTTAGTTCTTTTGCCTCTTTGGCATTTAGTGTAGTACGACAAACAACATTGCACATCTGCGGTTCTCGCATTTTAAACTGCACGGATGAATTTTAGGATTAAGTTTGCTCAGTGATGCATGATTTTTTAACAATTGACTGAATGCAAGGATGCTTTGGACATAAGTCATTGTACAATCCTAGAAAAGGGATAAAGAAAAGAAACAGTGAGAAGGCAAGAAATACAAACCACATAAGGAGAGTTCTCAATACGATCACCACGAAGAACCTCCCCAAGATTTTCAGCACTGTCCACTATTTTCTCTGGTTTGCAGTAAGGAAGCGAATAGTACGAATAAGGAAGTTGAGTTTTAACAGAAGTTAGTTTGTTCACTTTCACCTTCAGAAGATCACCCTGCACCAAGACAAACATTACACAATACCATAATGTGATGGTACACCAAGGAACTGAATTACATATTATACAATAATGCAAAGGTGGCTGACAGAGTATGAATCTTCTTTATACAAGAAAAAAAAATGAAAAACGTTTTGCAACATGCTGATGTTAATAATGTATGTTCATGTCTAGGTAGACAAAGTTAATTTGTACACTAACTGTGAGCTCTAGACATTCTGGCACATCGCAACTTTTTAAAGCACCATACAGATGCTATATAGCAACTTTATCCTTCAAATTTTAGAAACACAGAATGTAAAGTACACAAATATACATAGAGGAAACTCGTGCCACAAATAAATACAAATGAGACCATCATTGTCTTCCCTTAAGTTTCTTTATCAATAATATACCCATATGCATGGTTTATTCCAGTCATTTAAGTATGCATATGTCCTTGAAAAATTCAAAAAATATGCCTCAACAACAGCCAACAAGAACCAAAAATCCAAGATTTTGAGTCTCTCATAGATAGAAGAAAGATTGGGAAAGAAAAAAGCTTTTTCCTTTGTTTGAAGGAAAATAGATGAGGTGTGAAAAGTGGAAGCACATTAAAATCCATCAAAGCCAGCTTAAATTTTATCCAACTACGGAGAAGTTGGAAGGTATTCTATCCGTTCAAGAGAAAAACAACTTTAAAATATTCATTTGACCTCCTCATAAGTCAGTAATTTTGATCAAATGCAAATGTTTAAATCCTTTACATTGTTCGTGATATTATAATCGATTCTCCAATGAAATCGAATGGACATGGGCCATAAAATTTCAGATAGGGTGCTAGAGGAGTAAGAAACAGAGTGACTCATATGTAACTGGTATGTTTAATTGTTAGAAAAAATGCCAGTTTAGTTTGCATGCAATAGTTAGTTAAGTATTTAAGAAGCTGCATATGAGCAGTGTTATTAACTGCGGATGGCAGTAAATGGCGGCAGGCCAAAATCCCGCCGTGGCGGCCTATGGTGCCGCCATAACCGCCATCCTTCACAGATTTAGCATGGCGGTTTGTCAAAAAAGTCAGCTACACCATAACACCATGGCGCCGCCATGGCTGCCATTTGATAACACTGCATACGAGTAAACAAATACCATAAGATCATGTATGTTTTATGTTCTCGTATTTGTAAAGAACACAATGTAAACCAATTTCCTACACCACTAGTTTTCCTTCAAGTAATTAATAAATGAAATGCAAAATGTTTCAATTTTTTTTTTTTTTTTCGAAAGAACATCAACAGAAGGGAGATTCAACAACAAATTAACCAAACTTTATAACTTGCTTTGTTGTTCTACAATATACAGTCACCACCATCAATCAGCTATGTTCTACAGTAAGGGTTTTATTCCCATCTGGCACACCAATAAACCAAAAGTAAGACTTTCAATCAGCACAAAAGCAAATCAAAAGATCCAAACCCACACAACACATAACACAAATAAATCTGATATTTTAAATTTGGTGTATTATTGTTGACATATAATAACTGCTCAAGCTGTTAGATTGTTGTGCTATCAAATGTTCCTAGCCTTACATTTTTGTTGCAATGAACTTTGTAACTCCAGATCGCTCTTTTTAACCAAAAATAAAATCCATCAAGTTCATTCAGTAGCCCACAATACACAAATTGCATCATTAAACATTATCAGATAAACCCATGCACAAACAACAGATCTAACACTAGGAAAGCACACAATTAACCAAACCGATATCCAAACACCGAAAAGAACCAGCCAAATTCACAAACATCCGCGAACACATTGTTTTCCATCTATGCGTAGACAAACACAAGAACGGCTTCTATCAATAACACTACTCCAGTTTAACAAACGCACCCAAAAAAACATGCATTTGGATCAGAGATTTATTTAAACATCGTATGTAGTCAAATTTCAGAAATGCAAAATTGAGAGGAACCAAAACTTGCATAGCTGATAAAATTTACCTTAACGAAGTCTTGGGGAGCGACTCCGGGGAGGTAGAAGGAGTGAGCGGCGTTGATGAAAAGAAGAAGAAACGCCCAAATCGCGTGAGGCCTTCTCCAAGCGACCTCCATTTTTTATCCAGTAAACTCTCACAAGATCGCTAATGGATTGAAGATCTGGATCCAGACGCTACACCAATAAACTCTCCCTCCTTTCTCTCTCTCTCTCTATTGCATATACATATATACGCAAGTCTGTAATGATAACTCTCTCTCTCTCTCCGTAAGCACGCATGTATGTAACACGATTGACGAATACAAGAGGATGAGAATGGAAGCAAAGTAAGAATCCAACTGGAGGAAAGTGAGTGCATCACGACCGTAGGATATAAAGAAATCAACGGTAACAGGATAGGTGACGTTATTTCCAGAATTCACAACAATTAATAATGATTTATTGATTGATAATATATTTTTTTTCATTTTCGTGGTTTTCTTCTCTTATTTTTTTTTTCACTAAAAAAAAAGGAATCAATTAGTTATAAAAAGGTGAATTAGAGAGTTATCGCTAACAATAGTTATTTTTGGTAAAACTAGCTGATAAGTTAACTTACAGCTAGTAAGCTAGCTTATAGCTTACCAGTAATTTTCGAACTTATAACTTATACTTATAGTTGAAAAGCTAGTTTATATGATCAAAATGTATGGTATATTAGCTGATAAGCTAGTTGAAAAAATTCAACTAGCTTATTGGAAAAACTACACAAAAAAACTTATGAGATAAGTTCGAACTTTTTAAAAAAGTTCGGCCTACCAAACGAAACTTATTTAGATTTAGGAAGCTTATAAGCTAATCAAATAAGCTATAAGCTAGTTTATTTGTCTAGCAAACATAGTCTAAGACTCCCCTCTACAAAGGGAATAAAAAAAATCCCAAATAAGGGAGACTAGAGTACCTCACTGAGAGAGACTAAATACAAACTGTAACATCTCACCTAAACTTACTAAAATCAGAGTAAATTTTTCGCGCTATAAATGAAAAAATGCTGATTTAATTTCGAAACTCAATTTAACTTTTTCGAAAATACTTTAATCTGACTGTGGGATGCTACTCAACTGACTGAAAATCCCAAATAAGGTGAGCTAGTTGTTTGCTCACCCCCACCATTTCCCACCTTTTTCAGGTTGAGTAGCTGGCGGCGGACACGAGGAGACGAGGGTGGTCAATTTATATGCTTTGCTTTTATTGCTTTCGCTAATATTTATTCTGACTTTGTGTGTTTCGGATTTCGATGTTGAGAATATGACTATGTGGCTTCGAGACTTATGTGAATGGATGTTTATTTATCTCTCGAATGGTTTTGAAGTAAGATAAAAATTTGAAGTTTTCCCTAAGGGCTTAATAGGCGACTTACAATTAAGTTTTAAAGAAAGGTGAAAACTTTTAAGTAGTGCTCGAGAAAAATTCTAAGAAAAAATGTTTTACTAGTTCAAATTGTTTCTGAAAAAATATTGTGTTTTCTAAAGAAATGTAAGCGGACGCTACAAAGTAAGCCCAATTTGTCACACATTCAGTTTGGGATAGTCTAACACATGTGCTGGTGTAGGATGATGGTAAGTTGGAAAAGCGTTCAGAAGTGCGGTTGTTTGTGAGCTAAGGGAACGAAATGAGGTTTATTTTATAGTTCCAATGATTAGAATGTGATCGTTAGCAAGAACGCTAGATACTTGGAAGAATACTATATTTTAAATCACTAGCTCGTGAGTAGACTTGTCTTAGAGGTGTTAAGGGGTGAGGTCGCGCGTCCATTACTGAGTATGCAAGTAGATACACCACAAAATACTGCAACAACTGTCACATAGGATGCATCTGTGCAGATTGTACCTCATCCCAGTGGGAGGGTTGTTAGATAGCCTAACTGGTTTATGTTCTTTGGAGAGTCTTCGGACTTAGTCTCTGGTGAGCTAGAACCTCACCCTTGATCGTTTGGTGAGGCACTCTAGGAAAAGGATGCAGAATCATGGCAAAGTGCAATGAAAACTGAAATAGATTCATGGACTCTAATCAGGTCTGAGATCTTGTAGAACCACTTAGTGGGGTACGATGAATTGGATGTACGTGGGTCTATAAAAAAAATAGAGAATCGAATAGAAAGGTCGAAACCTTCAAATGTAGGCTTGTTGCGAAATGATATCGATTATGAGGAAACCTACTCGCTGGTAGCCATGATCAAATCCATTAGGATTCTAATGGTTGTTGTCGATCATATGGATTATGAGATTTAGTAAATTGATGTCAAGTCGACTTTCCTTAATGGGAGCATTCAGGAAGACATCTATATGCAGCAACCACAAGAGTTCGTTGCAGAAAGCCGTGAGCATCTGGTTTGTAAGATGAATAGGTCCAATTATGGTCTGAAGTAGGTTTCGAGGTCTTGGAACATCCGGTTCAGTTTGGTGATCCAGTCGTACGGGTTCACTCAATGCTCGGATGAGCACTGAGTGTACTAGAAAGGTAACAGAAACGTGGTGGTGTTTCTTGTGATGTATGTAGACGACATCCTTCTCATTGGAAACAATGTAAAGGTCTTGTTAGACGTAAATGTATGGTTTTCTGAGCAGTTTGATATAAAGTATTTGACAGAAACGGGACACATTCTCATAATCAAGGTGATTTGACACCGCAAGAAGAGCATGTTGTGCTTATCCCAATCTTCGTGCATAGATATTGTCATGGCTCGTTTTAGCATGCAAGATTCGAAGAAGGTCATTACCTTTTACACTGTCTAAGGAGATGTCTCCCATGACGCCTCAACAGATAGAGGACATGAGAGGGATTCCTTATGCATCGGCAGTAGAAAGTCTCATGTATGTGATGATGTGTATGAGGGTAGATATCTACTATGCGGTAGGCATGGTGAACAGGTATCAAAGTAACCCGGGATAGGGTCATTGGACCGCCGTGAAGCATATAGTCAGTTACCTGAAGAGGATCAAGGACTCTATGCTGGTCTACCGCTCAGACCAATTTATCCCCATGGGTTAGACCGATTTCGACTTCCAGTCAGACCGGGACAAGTATAAATCTACTTTAGGGTTTGTGTTTAATCTGGAAGGTGGAGTTATAGTATGGCGGAGTGTCAAGTAGAAATGCATGACAGGCTCCATCATGGAAGCCAAGTATATTGCAGCTTCTGAAGCAACAAAAGAGGGTGTATGGCTCAAGAAATTCCTGCTGGACTTAGATGTGGTGCGAGTTTGCCCAAAGCTATTACAATTTACTGTGATATCAGCGGTGCAATAGCAAACTCGAAGGAGCAACAAGCCCATAAGGTGAGTAAGCACATGGAGCACATGTACCACCTAATACGAGAAATCGTAAGAAGTGGAGATGTCGTGGTTTTCATGATAGCATCAACAGACAATCTAGCAGATCTTTTCACGAAGAGTCTGCCGATGAAGGTCTTCGACAGGCACGTGGAAGGAATGAGAGTCAGAAGTTTGGCAGTAGGATCGACATATGTCTTTCAGAATAAGAATTGAAAGATGTATACTATAAAAGGCGAAAGCTTTAAGTAAAAGTGGGAAATTGTTAGTGTATATACTGAAAGCTTAATTTTTTGCGTTATTTATAATATTTCCAATTGAATTAAAATTATGTTTAATTAAATAGTTCTATGTTTTGACGTTTTACATTTGGATAATTATGGTTCATGACGGATGGACAGAAGATCATATTATTGGTTACTTGTAAAACCTAAACAATTGGTTCACAACATCGATGGAATGAACAACCCTTCGTGGACGGGTGTAGTGTAATTTGAATCAATTGGTCTTGACTGATGAATTATAGTAGTACGTCTAGGATATACTGAATGGATTTCGGAGAGGATAAGTTTACTTTATACATACCAAACAAACAAACTAGACCTCGATTAATTACTGCATACTCTTAACACGTAAGATAATAACAGGCACGTGCACATAATAGCTGCAACTTTGATTAACTAAAAAGTGAGATCCAATCTGTTGGATCAATAGTCTATGTGAGTTAGGTAGTGATGTTGTATGTATGGTGTGTTGTTCTATTATTTATAGTTACCATGTGCCTTAGTCTTATGACGTCCACGAAATGAGCTTAAGAATGATTATTATGTTAAGCCCTGTAGACAGATTGAGTTTTGGCATAATAATAAAGAATTGAATGGTACTAATTTCAGTTCAAGTAATCAATTAATTATATTGTCACTAATTAAATTAATTTATGGACTTTAAGGGAAGATAAATCGAGTAATTGTAATTGGAGCCTCAAATGTAATTTGGGAGCTAAATGGGGAGTGCAATAATATTTATTTAGTGGACTGAAACGTTATTCAAGTATGAGTTGAGTGGGCTAGGCCTATACTTGGGGAGCTCATATTTAGCATCTCCTTATGGTCCCTGTTGTAACCTATATATACACCTATTCTCTTTAGAGTTCCACTTGCCTGCGACACTTAAGAAATCACATTGCATACGACTTTGAGGGATCTTGTGAGTTTTGGAACATCAATCGAGAAATATCTGAGCTCATCGCCTATGAATAAGAATTGAGAAGGTGTCAGGTAATACAACAGAAGTCTCGAGTTCATCCGAGGCATGCACGCACCACCGCAGGCGACCACTGGCGACCCCGCACACAGCCGCATGCAGTCGCGAGCCACAGCCACACGAAGCGGCAGCGTGACCAACAACCCGACAACGCACGCAACCGCGCATACCCTGGCGACCCGACGTGCGCAATCGATGATCCCACACAAGCAGCGGGGAGCGACACACGACCGAAGGCGAGGCGTGACAACGAGGTGAGAAGATCGTCTCAAAACCGTTCGTCTGAGCCCATCATTTGTGTAGTCGTATTAGAGTCTATAAATGTTTTAAATCATAATTGTTAAACCTTTGTTTAGTTCTACTGCACTTAGGTTTATTTTTGTAGATTACTCCATGACTTGCATAAATTCGACGATTCTCATAAAACCCCAACATGCATTTCGAGTCCATCTTTCATTAGAACCACTTCGTCTGACATAATATGTTTAAATTATTTTTGAGAGCACCGAACAACTATGACATGGGATTGGTCGAAAAAGGACCTCAACTACGACATGAGAATAATAGAAAAAACGACCTCAAGGAATAGGGCAGGACAAATTAGGGAACTCAATTGTAAGAACCTAATCGATGTAAAAGAGTTGTTCGTGAGATATTAGAGGAAGACGGTTGGGGCATACATAACATATAGGCCTTGTTTGTTTAATAGCGTTTTGACAAAAAATTAACTTTTTGAGGGAGTTAGCTTTTTCATTTGGTGAAAACAGCTGAAATTGATGTTTGGTTAAATGGCTTTTTGTTCTAGCTTATTGGGTGAATAAGCTGAAAATGAAAACGCTAGAATTCAGAGCGTTTTGCATTAGCTGATTGAATAAATTTTTTATTTATTTCTTTAATTCTACACTAACTAATCTGGATAAATTATCCATCTATTTTTTTCTAATTTTGCACTAACTAATGAAGTTGATTTCACGTTTTTATTTTTTAGTATTGAAAAATCCACATAACATAGCATTCATTGTGAATGCTTCAAATCTCCATTTTTAACATAACACTAAGTATTGGTTTGAAATCATTTATTTTTATGTTTAATTTATATTTTTATTTTACTTATTACTTTTACTATAAAGAATTTTTAAAAAAACAATTTGATAATAGTTATTATATCAAAAATATTTTTCTGTAAATATAAATAATTAAACGAATATAACCAATGTATATATATAAAAATAATTCAAGTTAATAATACCAACATATTTTTATGAATCAATAAGCTATTTTTACCAAACATACTTTTAAAAATCGCTATTATTATCCGCTGGTCAAACCAACTGAAACAATTCGCTGATCAAAACAGCTATTACAATCAGCTAACAGCTAACAGTCCTCTCCTCGTGGCTTTTGGAGCCTAATCGAAGTAAAACTTTATGTAGGTTTATGCAAAAGATTCTCCTCTTCCTACTATGCCCAATCAAACACCTCTAATAGAAAAAAACGAAACTACAGCATAAAACTTTATGTAGGTTCATTGCACAACACGTTTTGTTAAACCATTGATGTGAAACGCAGGCAGTTGAAAAACAACATTTCCAATCCCAAAAATAGAAACATCAACACATTCTATACATAAAAAAATAAAAAAAAAATAGAAACACTAACAATTACAGTTGTTAATGCATCCATTCCATTTCCATCCATCATGTGTCGGTATACAAGACAAAAATACACGATGGAAAGCAGAAACTGCTTCGTGGGCGCACACAATCACAACGGCTGAATCAATCAATCAGTTAATCCCGTGAAATCCGGCTCCGGCGGCTTCTGGAGCTTCACCAGCTCCTTGAGATTCCGGTTCCTGTGGACCCCACGCAGGGCATTGGCAGCAAACCTCGACGCCAGGAAAGTCGCCCTTATACTATACAACCCCCCAGCCCCAGCCTCAGCCTCAGCATCGGCCTCCTCTTTCCTCCTAACCTCCAAGAGCTTCCTCTTGGAATAGCGGCGCCAGGCGGCCTGGACGAAGCACGCGGCCCACGTGCGCCACTGCTGCGAGTAGAACCTGAACGTAGGGTTGTGAAAGAATGGAATCAAAGCGAATATTAAGATATTCGATTCGGATTCGTTAAAATATTCGAGGATTCTAATTCCTATTCGATTTGTAAACAAACTCATTTTTTTGATTCGTATTCGATTCATTCAGAATATTCGAACATAACCGATTCGATTCGGAATTCGTTATCAAAAATATATTATAATTAAAAAAAATTATAATTACAAAAATATCGTTTATGTTTTTTCCTATCCAATTTGAGATGTTTTTAGGGCAGATTATTAATTTGGGATGTTTTTACTTTTTATGTCATAAAAATATTAGGAATATAACAATATATATAATATAAAATTTATATAATTATCCTTAAATATAAAATTTATATAATTATCCTTAACGAATCGAAGATCGAATTTCGAATCAAATACCAACGAAATCGAAATCGAATTCGTTTGACTTTCGAATATAAAACATTATTCATATTCGAATTCGAATATAGAATTGAATAAAAAAAAAAAAGAAGATTTGTTTACAAGCCTACCTGAATGTGTGCTGCACCTGCCGGCTGTGCAGGCGTCGGAACTGTCCGGCCACGAACTTTAGCTCGTCCGCAGAGAGCGCAAAAGCCTCGACTTCCGAGAGGGCACGCACGGTGCGTGTGGACGAGGGAAGGTTGGCGGCCGACTTCGGGTCGAGGGCCCACGTGAGAAGCTCCTCCCCGCAAAAGTCCCCTTCCTTGAGAAGGCTCCGGTTGAAGAACCCACTTCGGCCCCCGTCGGTTGTCACACTCTCGAGTCGGCCTCGGATTAGAAAAATCATCTCGTCCACTGGGTCACCTTCGCGCACGATGTAGCTGCTCTCGGTGTACAGCCACGGCTTGAGGCGCTCGCAGATCGCGTCTAGCAGTCGCTCGTCCATCTTCTCAAACAGCGGCACCTAACACAATTGACAATTCCAAACATGATTTTAGATTGGACTCTTGTTTTTTGGACATGCATGTACAAGTAGGCTTGTAACAAATCGAATTTTTTTTATTCGAATTCGATAGTCGTGATTCGAATTCGAATACGAATAATATTTTATATTCGACAGTTAAACGAATTCGAATTCAAATTTGTAGATATTCGATTCGTTAACAATAATTATATAAATTTTATAAATTATATATAGTATAAATTTTGTTTAGATATATATAAAGTAAAAACATAAAAAGTATATTATAATATTTTTTTGAAAACGAATTTCGAATCGAATCGAATATGTTCGAATATTCTAAACGAGTCGAATACGAATAAAAAAACGAGTTCGTATAAGAATCGAATACGAATTCGAATCCTCGAATATTTTAACGAATTCGAATCGAATATCTTAATATTTCGCTTTGATTCGATTCGTTTACAACCCTATGCACAAGAAGACAAATTCGGAAATTTTATTTACCCTCTTCACCAAAGCAAGACAGAGATGGCGTTTGATGTCTCGTCTGAGATCCTTTGGCAGACTCTGGACGAGACTCTCTTCGTCGACCCCACGAGTCTCGAGCCACTTGTATTGATCATAACGCCTTACTCGCTCTCTTAGATCGGGCGGCAGTAGACGGTGATGCATCCATTGCTCTGAGTCGCGTCTTTTCACTCTCATCTCTTCGAGTCGGATAGTGAGTGATTGGAGGTAAGTCTGACCCAACCCCAAAAGGATTCAAAATCACATAATTCAAGTGATAAAATGGATATAAATGCCAAAGAATGTGGTTGTTGCATGATTACCTGCATATTCCCAATCAACAAGGCAAAGAGAATGAGGCCAAAGATAGCAAGTGCGATGCTGAATATAGACTCCCCAGGATAAGTACTGGTTTGAAGGCCCTGTCCAAGTGTACTGAAGAAGCAAAGATGACGAATGCAAATGTTAATTATCATATTATCTTTTTATGTCATAGCAAAAACTCTACTTTCACTCCACTTGGTTCTTCTAGCTTCGCATAAACGCAACGAGAAGAGCTATTTATTAGTTCTATCACTTTTTGACACTCTAAGCTGGTAGGTGAATGACAACAGATTATTATAAAACAATTCCCTGCCAATTTCACGCAAGCAAAGCACAGATACAATCATACAAATAAGAATTCGTAGATCAAGAATATTAACCGAGAATACACTGCAACAAAAAGAAAAATACAACAACATAGCCTTTTAGTCCCAAGCAAGTTGGGGTAGGCTACAGATGAAACTAACAGGACACGAGAAAAAGTATGGAACATGAAAATGAAATACGAAAAGGGCAGTATAAATGTGTGCGAAAGATATAAATTATAAGTTTCTTTACCTCAAATTCTGCAGGCCCCACCATAGACAGTAGCAGTACTTGGACAAGAACTTATTTGATGAAACTACTTGGGATGCTAAAGCCTGCCTGAAGATTCCAAAATCAAACGGCGGATTGTCCTCATCATCCACAGGACAAGCTGAGGTTAAAACAGAATCACTAATGTTGCTCCAGGTTTCGTAACCATTAGTCCTCTGATTTCCACAGTACAAGAAATCTGTGCTACAATTACCACTGTGTTTACAAGCCCTCTGCCAGCAAGTGTCATTACGTTCCACGGACAACAAGTACCAGAGAGCCCCAACTATCTGGAGAAAGAATAAGAAGATATACATATAGAATATTAAGAATTATTTTACATGAAAATGCAGCATCCATCATATTCCATAGAACAGAATAACTAAGCTTATGGGATGCTGACAGAGATGCAAGAATGGAAGGATATCAATCTTAAAATATTTTGTGCTGACTTTTTGGGGGGCTTAATCGGTGCTTAATCTTGTGGATTTTTACTGATTTATTATTCCTCACATGCTATTATATTCTTGCCCCTTATATTCTTTTCACCATTTTATATTAGCTATAGTTTAGTATATAAGATAGGGTTGTCAAGAGGATAGCATGAAGAGATTTATTTTGTAATAGCACAGGCTATTGGGCAAGTTTCTTGCTGGGCAGCGATCCTGCTGGAGAAGTTTAGTACTTCTTGGAGAAGTTTCATACTTTTTGTTTCATCCGTACTATATTATCATCAATAAAATTACATCTCTCTCTTTCTTGATCCTTTATTCCTATCAGACGCAAATGGGTTAGTCATGGAGATGTTAGCTGGAAAATCTAGCAAACATTAAAAGCAAAATGTTCATTTCACCGTTTCGTATTGCTCTGCTTGCAGCAACTCACAGTATTTGGATGAAATTAGCATAGGATAACGTAAAAGAGAAGATCGCGTATTATTTTTCTTAACATTGGAACTTGGAATTATCATTTGAATAGAAGCTCACATGGCTCGCAAGCATGTATAGCAGCAAATAAGACACTGCACCGGCCCAAGCAGTTTCAGCAAAGACACCAGAAGTTCTTTTCAGTTCTGAAGTTAGTGGCAAAATTCGGGCAAATCTGGGAATGTACTGAAGCAAAATGATAAAAAATAGTGCTTGCTTTGTAGCCAGTACATCTGAGCCTTTTGACCTCTGTAGAAATCTCCATACAACTATCTGTATAGATTCAAAATGATGCAAACAAATAAGGATAACAAAAAAAATAATAAAATGTTATAACAAACATAAAGAACGTAAAAATGTCATAAAAGAAAATTTCAGAAAAAACATGCCACTTCATAACATCACAGAACCTGTGGAAGGGGTAGGATGGCAAGAAAATCGATAATAAAATGAAACTTCAAGTATCTCTTGGCAATCTGTGCAGGGTTTATAACGAGTTCACCCCGACCAAACACCCGAGAAGATGGTGCTATATAAGCTGTCCGGAACTGAAGACCCATGTGTATAAGATAGAAAACATCGACCAACGTGCGGAGTGTGGTGGCCGTGATAGCCAATTTCCTGTCTATGTCCAAGCAATTTGACGACTTGTTGAAAACTGGAAGAAAGAAAAAAAGGGGGTCCACAGACACACCCAAGATACATGACATCACAAAGAGCTTGTTCCAGATTGTGAGAACCTTGTCTTGCGGATCGAATATCTTCTTCTCGGACACTTTGAGGTCTTCCGAGAATACGGCACCGAATCCAAGGGACCGGCCAATAGATTTTAGTCCCTCAGAGCCTTTTTTCACACCTTTTCTGAACGATCTTGATGGAACATGAGACGTGTGGTTGCCAAAGCTGCATTTGTTGGTCGGGACTGAAGATGACGAGGATGATAGTCTCGAGTCTAGATCATCCAACCTTTAAAGAACAAAAAAAAGGAACAAAAAATTCTCGACAACGTTTTTCAATCATGGATATCAATTGCACATTTGAGAAAATAAAGGCACTGATAGCCAATAGAGTTTTAGGAACAGAAAAAAATTGCTTATGTTCCAAGAAATAGTGAAAAATACCAGTTGACCTGTTCTAACAATATGTTAAAACAGTTTTTGTTTGATAAAGCAGGTTAAATTAGTGGAGGCATGATAAAAAAAAGTGATACCTTACAAACTTTTCCTGCTGCCCAGTAATATACGGAGCCTTTGGACCGCAGTCAAACATTTCGTATGAATAGTGTTAAATCTGACAGCAGGAAAGAAGAGAAGCTGAAGAATCATGCAAGAAAAGTAAACAAGATAAAAAGCTTCACAAAATTTTCCAGTTTTTCACCATCTCACCATAAAAGCATTTAATTGAGCTCTCTGCTCACTCAAAAAATTTTCAAATATCAATGAAATTAAAAGAATAACAGTAAGCTCTCATCTTAATGCTTTCCCATATCAAATAAAATGGAATACATAGAAGCATTTAGCCATGCAATTCTATCTTACTGCACTTAAACACTTACAGACAATTCAAGCAAGATTTTATACTTACCCACCCAGATCGATACCTCACTACAAAGTGTCGAGGACTGTATTTCAAAAGAAACTGCAAATCGATTTGCAGGGAAAGAATAGGCTCAAGCCCCAGGAAACATCTTATGCATCTGCACTAGCATTATTTTAACAAAAAATATACACGTTAACTTCTCAAATTGCATATAGAGATAAGTAAATCTGAGCCTACAAAATTAAAAATAATAAATAATAACAATAAAAAATGATTCAGTTATCAAAAATCTGAAATATGGAAAGTCACCCAAGAATCAGTCAGATAAAAGCACCAAATAGAACTAACATAAACCTTTTAGAAGAATTCCTGCATTACACAACAATCTCAATCCCAATCTCTAAACTAGGGAACAGTAAGCTGAAGTTTACTGTGGTAAGAGTTCCACTTACCAATTGAAAAAATTATCATTCTTGTAGCTTATTGAGGAACTAAGACATAAATTTCAAGGAATCATCTTTATCAGGAGATGACTGCTCTAAATGACCAATTCTCAAAGAAAATGATAAAAATAAAAAATAAAATACAAGTTGTACGATGAAGCAAGAATGATGGAACTCGTCACAGCTTCAAGATGGTGAAATAAAACTACTCCATAACTACAAGTGAAAAGCCATCACCGAAAAACCCATCGAGATTTTTCTCTATAAATAGCAACAAAATCAATTTCAAACAACTAATAAACCCGGCAAAACACAAGAGGCTACTACAATTTAGATGCAGAACTTGTAAACCAGATAAAACTGAGATACTTACAGATATTAGGTCATTAGTATAATGATTGAATTTGAAGTAGAGAGAATGGAGAGAGATTTGTCCAGGCAGAAGAAATGAAGTCAAAATTATCCAAGCAAGTAAACAAGTGGGGGAGCATTGAGCACATAATTGAAATATGGACCTCTTTTTTCATTGTTTTATATATATTATATAAAGCAGATATTTAGAGTAAGTTTAATTAAAATCCCTATATCTATTTTAAAATTTAAAACCCACCCTCGTCGAAATTCGTTGACCGGCACGCCTTTTATCAATTTATTCATTATTTATACTTGCCTATTAAATTCATTCCTCGTCATTGTCTAATTTGCACTCCTTTTATAAATTTATTTACTCACTCGTCTCCTACAAGTTTGCGAATCAACCGATGTTTGATTGTATGAGCAGTCTGATGCGGATGAGGCCAACAACTTAAGAATGCCTATAATCGAGCAAAGCGAGCTTGTATCAAGGCGCATGGCGAGCAGCCGCAGGCTCACAGCGGGGCGGAAGGGACCGTACAGCAGGCACGCAGCAGACGCGCGTAGTAAGCACGCGTGCATCAGGTACCGAGTTGCACTATTAATATTTTTTAGATTGATTTCGTTAATTTGTTATTCGTTAGGACCTTAGTTGTAATTTTTAGTATTTTTCTTCTTATATCTTATATCAATCGTTGGCAAGAATTTTAAGCAATGAGTAATCAAAACCTCTAGGTTTCTAGCACGAATCCTCTTGCATAATCGATGGCCGCCAGTGCGGGTTATCGCAGTTAATCTTTCTAATACATGATCTTCAGCATTGGTACTTTCATTGAGAGAATTGATCGTGTATTATCATGTCGAACAGGGAGCGGATTGATCGTTTGGAGGAGAATGTGTGTTTCATCAACGAGGCGTACAATCGACGAACTAGGTCGTGGTGCGAAACGAACGGATGCTAATTCAAACTGTCGGTCAGCGACCACGAAGGGGCGACTCCGACCCGTCCTCGGACGAGTCTGCGGACTCGAAAAGAGACCCAAAATTTCGAAATGATTTTGCAGACGATGTGGACAACCGATCGAGGGGATCGAACCACTACGAGAGGAGTGGGAGCGAGAGGCCAAAAGTGATCCTACCAACTTTTAACGGGCGCAGACCCTGATTCGTGGCTGAGCCGCGCCAATCAGTATTTCGAAATCAACAAAATATCGAAGTCGGAGAGGGTCAAATTAGTCGCCTACTATCTTGATGGGGAGGCGAACGTATGGTGGCAATGGTTGTCAAGGGTTTACAAAAGGAAGGACGCCAAGATCCGTTGGAGAACTTTCTAAAAAGAATTAGTTACCAGGTTTGGATCGTCGGATTATCACGATCACAATGAAGCCCTTTCGCATATTAAACAAACTGGAATTTGTTTCAAGGATGCTAAGACACCTCCTTTTCAGTGATAGGATGAGGTAGCTTAGACGTGACTCCTTGCTAACTCGAGCTTGCAACGAACGATAAACGCCTATTCGACACAAGGGTTTTGCAATAAAAATCAAAGAAACTTAACACAAGAATTTTGTGAACAAAGTTCAATTTTTATTGCTTAATTGATGATAAAAAAACGTGGGGAACATCAGAAATTTAAAGGGAAAAACTTAGCCTAATCCTATGAGAAATAAACCTCTTAACTTATGAAAATTATATCAATTAAAGATCCTAAAATTACCCAAACTATTCAAACTCAAAATAACCTAGTAATAATTAAAAACATGTGGAAACATCTAGGAATAATCTAGAAAAGATTCAGACAAAAATACCTTCCAGATGTCTCGGTTTCTTGATCGAAAAGTTGCGCGCGCTGTCTCGGGTTGTCGCGCGACTAGTGTGTGCGTCACCTGCTGCCAGTGCGTGGATCTCGCACGCGCCCAAGCGGGTCGCCCCGCGTCCATAGCGTGCCGCACGCGTTGCCTGTGCGTGCCCGAACGGGTTGCCCAGCGCGCCTGGATGCTGCGTACGCTCCCAGCACGACTGCTGCACCCAGTGCACCTACACCAAGCACCCACGCACCCGACGCACCTACCCCGTGCACCCATGCACCCGTGTTGCTTACGCCATGGTTCTGTACACCCCTGCCGCCTACTCCCGTCGCGCTTGCCGCACTATTGCTCGCGCCCATGCACGCGGCCATCCCGCTCGTCTTGGCGGCCCGTCGAGCCAATCCACCGCGTGCTTGATGTGCTCGATCATGCGTGTCCGCGGGTGAAAAACCTCCATCTTCATCAGCTACCTTCTCCGCTGCATCAGAAGATAATAAAGTTTACTCAGCAAAAACCAACGAAGACTTCTCGATAGACTAAAGCGGATTTACGCATTTTTTTTCCGTAAAGAAGGTAATCACGTATGTAAAGCCACCAGACGACCGACGAGTCCTCCACTCTCCTACCACCCAGAACCAGTCCTGTTTCCCACCATGCCGAGACTTGAGTACATCCCTCACCAAATTAGCACACCTATTGTCACGTGGCGCCAAATGGAAATACCCCGATCCGTCTTTTGTTGTCTTCCACATGTATACGGAGTCCAGTTCCTCCACGGTTGGAGTCAGCCACCCCTTGCTGACAAACATGACGATCAAAGAACACAATGATACACTGTGTTCGGATGCACTTGACTTATGTCGATATCCCATTTCGCCAAGTATTTCGATATTATTAGGGAAAGTGAAAACTTTAGCCTAGACGCTATGGATTCTCGGCACTGCGACACTCTCCATCGGTGGACAATGGGCACGTTCCCCTATGTACAAGGCGAACATCTTAACCATTCCTAGTATTTCGTACTTCTCCATCAACTTTACTAAATCGTTGTCCCACAAGGCTCTGCAAGCTTGCATATCTCCAGGCGTATCGGCAATCCCGCCAAACTTGAAAACTTGGGGGTCTCCCTCCACACCTGGAATCTTGGGGGCCTCTAAGTTATACCCAAATTTCCTGCAGGCATGACCCACCAAGAGTAAAGCCCAAATACGTAATTTGTCAATCCCCCGATCGGCAGACATCGATCCTTGTCGATCTCTCTCTGAGTCTTCTCGAAGAAGATTGACAATCTCTCCTCATCTGAACGTTGAACCGATAAAACTGACAGGGCACCGCTCAAGATTTCTCATCCTCAAAAGACGAGTTTTGCATGGATACACGCGGCACCACTCTATGCCCCTAGCTGGCACCGATCATTTATTGCCTTCTCACTTTTTCTATACACAAATACCAACTCCCTCGAGCTATACAAGATCATCGGAATAATCATCAACACCACAACACAAACAACACCCATATATATACATAGTAGATGTAACCAAAAATACTACCCTCACGTAGCTCTTACACTCTCTTATGGATGTAACAAATCTTTGTACAATCTCTCAATAAAAATTCTAGAGAACCACTCTCCTTATTGATTTCCGCAGTAGATCGGCAACATCAACGCCTCGTTTATTTTTTGTTGCATATTTACTTTCTTAGTTAGTGTAAATCCGTTCATATTATCTCTGATTTATAGTCTTAATTATGTTGTGTTCGCTAGTACCGTACGGGCTTTAAGCAGCGGAATTTAAATTTTTTCAAAGTAAGTATTTATCGTATAAATACAACACCCGTACATACTAATTGCGAATTAACTGATCGTCATCTTTAAAACATGCATCATATATGAATTTTGATTTGTTATATAAAAGTAAATACCAGTACAAATATTTACCGATTTGTCTTGAACTCCTTCACAAACGATGAACTTGAGGGAATCGGTTCTCGGTTTGATAACTTCAACGAATTGAGGTTACTCGCTTGAGGAATCCAAGTATCTTCCCTCTAACAGTATCCACCCTATGAATCCCGGTTCCGACGACCTTCCTTCGCTAGTAGGAATGACTCGGTTTTCTCGTATAGGAATTTATATGGATTTAATTTAGGAAACTCTCAAGAACTTTTCTTGTTATTGTGANG